AGAGCCAGGCTAATGGCGCCTAGCTTTACGTAATATTTTAGCCATCATTTCATTTGCACACATATGTTTAGATATGAGGTTTCCGCTCTTGTTACACACGAATGACATTTACACGGTCATTTGCCATTTGTGATCGAATGGCACTTGACCGTGTTTTTCATTCGAGACACTCATTGCCTTACACTCTGAAACACATTCGATGTAATGACGGCAAAGTTGTAGTCTATTAAAAGTTTTTTGTTTGAATATGATTCTCGGTAGAAGTAGACACAGAACGCATTCTACGAATAGCGATATTTTCTTGGTAATATTTTTTGAAATTATTATTATACATGCTTCAAAAGTGGATTCGGTTGAGTGGATCGATATGCGCACACCACGATGAATGTACTCGCATCTGGCTTTAGTTCTAAGCAGTTGTCTTCTCATATCAGTGATAGTCAAAAATCAGTCTGTCTGATATAATTATTCACCAATGTCCCGTCGAATTTCGCAGACAGTTAAGTGAATTTATTACATTGAGAGTGACGTGGTTCTTGGTTGTGATTTAATTGAATTGAGGAATATCATTCATTCAGGTGAATGCGCCGAATTACGTCTATCATCTCAAATTGCATTTTGAGTTATGCAGACGCATGAACNCATTTTTATATCTGTATATAAATCTTACTTTATGTAATCTGAGAAACATTGCTGAGTCAAAAAATGCATTGAGATTCATTGAAGAATGCAGATTCTTTGATAGATGCCTCAAAATAAAGCTTATTGTCGTATTCATAAAACTGAGGCGCATCTAGTTGTGGAGTGATGCAAAATATCTTAAACGAATCAATTTTAAGGCTAGACAAGAGCAATTGGCGGCGGAAGCGGCCGAATTTAGTCGTATTCAAATGGCGATTGATGAACAAAGACCAGTGAGTTTGCTGGTTCGGAATGTGGTCGATGAAGAGGATTATGATGCTGCATGAATTTTCCATTCAGACCTGTCATCCTCATCACTTTCCGATACTCTTTGCCTATTTCAACCTTCAACTGATATTATAACATGTCCAAACTATTTCCTCAACTCTCTATAATTGCTGTACGAATTTGACTTTCAAACCAATTTTCTCAGAACTCTGTCCGTTTCAACCTGCACAAATGAAATAAAATTCTTACAATCAGTTATATAATTTCTTATCGTCATTGCGATTAGCAAAANTATTTATATGGTGTTGTAAGTTGTAAAAGAATGTTGATAAACGCAAAGACTAGCGAATATATGCGTATAATACATGGAAAAGATCTCATAATGGAAGATTATTAATGGGACATGGAAGATTAGAAGTAATAAAATGATTATAATCTATCATACAATTGTGATTTGTTTATCCGCAACAATAGTAGCAGCAGCAGCAGGCAGTAACACTGAAGTGATATCGAATAAGTGAGTGAATGCGTTGTTGCGATAATCATTTAATAGCACATTTCTCAAATTATTATAGTATTTTGTTGTAGTCTCGATAACACAACATTTAATAGCAACAATAATTAAACTTCGGTGGGAACAGCCGTTCGAAATTCATCACTGGGTGAGAATTGAGTCTGTGTTTGTGACTGTGACTGATTGGGCTGAGGTTCACGTGCATTTGAGGAGTTTGAAACAGCGTTATTAGTGGTTGCTGTGGATGAGGATGATGCCAGGGTTTGATCGAACGACGATGGCGGCTGGCTTGACTCTGCGTTTCTTTTCGACGACTCGTCAAAACTCGTAATTGCTTCAGGGGGTGGAGTTTGCGGACAGTTCTCTATGTCGGCAATTATACTCACACTCAGAATGAATTTATCGCTGAAATACAATAAATGTTATTATTATTATT